ATTAAAAATGGATTAAAAATATTGTCTAAATCCCGAGTTGCCATCCCCCATCTATAATAATAGTTTCGCTGTCTGTCAAGAACGCTCTGTCTGACAAGAACGCTCTAGAGAAAACACAAGCAAAATAAAAACATGCACAGTAATTCGAAAAACGAAATATGACGTCGACACATTTAGCGTAGAGTAGAACATAATCTCAAACCAGAGAGTGCACACAGTAATATGACGTCATTGATTATCGCGTAAACATTGAAAAAAAGGAAATGTTGTCTAATCTAAATGGTTTGCGTGAAGAGTTTCTTGCATACAATTCTTCGGGTAGGGGCGAAGCCCCACCCCCCGCGTAAGAACGTCTGAGCCCCCCCCCCTCCCCAACTCAAAAGAAATTTCCTCATCGATACTCTATAATAAAATTACAGCCTAATTAATGTGTCTAATCTAAAAAGTGGTTTTCTTGCAATGGGAAGGTAGACATGTTTTTTTTTTGGGGGGGTTGGGGGGGGAGGGGTGGAGGGGTGGGGGGGGTGGTGTGTAGGGGTGGGGGGTGGTGTGTGGGGGGGTGGGTTGGTTTCAGTGTTTCTTTCAGACTTTTTCCTCCCCGGAGAGGGGTGGGGGGTACTTGAAATTTTCGGGGGCGGGGGTAGAATATTCTGGGAGGGGGCGGACACTGGAAAAAGTATATAATTATATTTCGTTGAATGGGACGGTAGACATGTTTTTTTTTGGGGGGGTGGGGGGTGGGGGGGGGGCGGTGTGTGGAGGGGGGTGGTGTGTGGGGGTGAGGGGTTGGGGTGGGGGTGGTGTGTGGTGGGGGGTGGGGGTGGTGTGTGGGGGTGGGGGGGTGGGGTGGGGGGTGGTGTGTGGGGGGTGGGTTGGTTTTAGTTTAGAGAAAAGAGACAGCACTATCAGCCTAGCGCCCGTTGTACCCTTCCTCAACGGGCCATTTATCTAGTTATTAATACTAATAGTTTCGCTGTCTCTCTATCTATCTATCTATCTGTCTGACAAGAACGCTCTAGAGAAAACACAAGGAAAATAAAAACATGCATAGTAATTCGAAAAACGAAGTATGACGTCGACACATTTAGCGCACAGAGTAGAAAATAATCTCAAACCCAGAGAGTGCTCAAAGTTATATGACGTCATTGATTTTCGCGTTAACATTGAATAAAAAGGAAATGTTGTCTAATCTTAATGGTTTGCGTGAAGAGTTTCTTGCATACAATTCTTCGGGTAGGGGCGAAGCCCCACCCCCCGCGTAAGAACGTCTGAGCCCCCCCCCCCCTCGGGGAGGGGGCGGACACTGGAAAAAGTATATAATTATATTTCGTTGAATGGGACGGTAGACATGTTTTTTTTGGGGGGGGGGGTGGGGGGGGGGGGGTGGGGGGGGTGGTGTGTGTGGGGGGTGGGGGGTGGTGTGTGTGGGGGGTGGGGTGGTTTTAGTTTAGACTTTTTCCTCCCCAGAGAGGGGTGGGGGTACTTGAAATTTTCGGGGGCGGGGGTAGAATTTTCGGGGAAGGGGCGGACACTGGAAAAAGTATATAATTATATTTCGTTGAATGGGACGGTAGGCATGTTTTTTTGGGGGGGGGGTGGAGGGGTGGGGGGGGGGTGGTGTGTGTGGGGGGGGGGCGGTGTGTGGAGGGGGTGGTGTGTGTGGGGGGTGGGGGGTGGGGGGTGGGGGGTGGGGGTGGGGGGGTGGTGTGTGGGGTGGGGTGGGGTGGGGGGTGGTGTGTGTGGGGGGGGTGGGTTGGTTTTAGTTTAGAGAAAAGAGACAGCACTATCAAGCTAGCGCCCGGTGTATCCTTCCTCAACGGGCCATTTTTCTCGTTTTATATAAGAATATTCGAGAACGTTTAGGGGAGATCACTCCCGTTTTATTTATTGCACTATTACAATACTTCCTCTATACTTCGTATACGAGAAAGTAAAAAGCGCATGGAAAGGGAAATAACTTAAATTAAAAAAAAATACACAAACTGTGCAAATACATTTTTTAATTGGAGCTTTAAAATCATTTAAAATATTGATTAATTTTGTAAAATTAACAATATTTTTTAGTTTAAATATTGACAAAAATTTATTATTTATTAAATTTTTTTATTTTTTATTATCTCTATTATAAACAAAAAGACAATAAGAATACGTATTATTAATTGGTATACATAAGATCACTAACTTTGTAATGCGCGTTAATTTAGAAATGTTTATTAAAATTTTGGATCCCCGTTCCGGGATAAGATAGACAATAATCCAAGTCAGGGTTCGGCAACCTGGTCCTTTGATGTCAAGATGCTGCTTTCCAGCTCCGTGAAGAAATATTAATAATTGTATAATTTTATTTCCAATGGACGATTGGATACAAGTTTGTCCTGCGTTAAGTAGGGTGAAATAAAAGCCTGATGTGAACCAAATGACAGAACCAAATTAACAGCTTCTAAAGTGGATTGGAATAGTATATTATTTTATTAATAATTTTATTATTCTGGCGAAACATGTGTATGTTTTTATATGAATTAATATTATTTCATATTTAAAAGCTATTTATTTTAAATAACAAATCAAATTTTGGTGCGCGGACCCTTGACCGCAGGGGCTTTGACCACAGCGGGGATTTGACCATAACGGAGCTTTGACCATAGGGGGTTTGACCATAGGAGGTTTGACCACAGGTGTTTTCTCAGCAGAGGGTCTTTGATCACAGGTGGTTTGTCAACGGGTGTTTTATCACAAGCGCTGTGTGCGGCTTTGATCACAAGTGTTTTGTCCATCTAGGGTCTTTGATCACTCAGGTGTTTTGTCTATATAGAGTCTTTGATCACAGGTGGTTTGTTAATATAGGGTCTTTAATCACAGGAGGTTAGTCCAATGCTGGCGTTTGATAACAAGCGCTTTGTCCTTATATGCAGTGTTTCTTCCAGACTTTTTTCTCCGGGGGGGGGGGGGGGGGGGGGCACTTGAAATCTTCGGGGGGGGGGGGTGCGGTAAACTTTCTTCGGGGGGCGGACACTGTTAAAAGTATATATTTTCTATATAAATTATATAAATTTCATTTCGTTCGGGGGGCGGTAAAAAATTTTCGGGGGCTTCGCCCCCCCCCTCGAAGATATGCCTGGAAGAAACTCTGCTTATATGTCCTTTTAAAAGTTGTGTAATTATATTTTAAATTGCGGCAGGATGTAATAGTATGTTAATTCATCTGTCATTTAGTTAACCATACAAGTATTACATCTTTGACTATTCTGTTGGAATTTTTTTTATCCTTTTTTACTTTCTCGTATATACGTAGTATAGAGAAAGTATTGTAATCGTGCAAAAAAAAAAAATCGAGATTTTTACAAATCTCGACGTTTTACACCTCACTGATACGGAAAAACATAATTTTGCAATCTTGTCCGTATGTCTGTGTGTGTGTGTGTCTGTCCGTGTGTGTGTCTGTGTGTAAACACGATAACTTGAGTACCGTTACAGCTAGGTTGATGAAATTTCATATATAAGTATTTTATCAAAATCGTAGATCCGTATCAACTTTTGAGCGATTTCCGATAACCGGAAGTGGTACTTTTCCTACTTTGAATTTTTCAAAAGCCTATAACTTGAGTACTATTTCAGATAGATAAATGAAATTTCACATGTAAGTAAAAGATCTAATTCTCTACCTTCTGTTAAATTTTGAGTAATTTCCGTTGACTGGAAGTAGTAATTTACGCTACTTCCGATTTCTCAAAAAACTAATGTAAATTTTTAAAGTACTAATAATATTGCGCACTATTATACGCGTTTTTATTCGGCGTTTGCTTGGTGCGCAATGTTTTTTTTATGAGATTCTATTCTATTTTTAAAAGTTTAAGTATTTAAAATGGATTAAAAATCATAACTATATCCCCAGTTACCATCCCCTGTTGTTTTATATAAGAATATTCGAGAAAGTTTAGGGGAGATCACTACCGGTTTATTATCCTTTATAAATGCTTTGTATTTTCAAGTACATCTACATTATTTATTTGTCAAACGTGTTATATGTGGCATTATTTGTGTTCCATTTATATTTAAAATAAATCTATGAGGTCTAGCACCAGCCTTTATGTTAAGACTAAAATATCGTTCTTGACTATTTTAGTACATGTTAATTTCAATAAATGGACTTTCAGGAAACATGTAAAAATGGTATTAATTGTATCATAAATTAAAATAGCAGTTAATTATTTCTATTTTGAAATCTATAAATTATGCTCCCCCCCTGTGGTCAAAGCCCCGCTGTGGTCAAACCCCCTATGGTCAAACCCCCTATGGTCAAACCCCCTATGGTCAAAATAAGATGTCATTTCATTTTTTGACAATATTCCTACAAAAATCGGGTAGATAATTCAATAAACAAATAAAAGTGTTGCCTTAAGAGGTTATATCCCTTTTAAAAATTAAACTAGATTTATCAATTTTCTTTTTTCCAAAAACATAAAAGTGTTTTAAATACAGTTTAGTTATTTCTTCTAGATCAAAGTAAATTTAAGCATCGTAATTTGAGTTGGATCTACTTTCTTTTGTCTTAAACTGTTTGGGTTTGCGTTATTCGTTATTTTAAAAATTCTTCTATATTTTAATTTTAACTATAGTTATTGTGTTAAGATTAAGCTATATGGACCGTATTTAAAATGATTTTTGCACTATAAGTCACAACAAATATTCATCCAAAAATTTACTGACTGTTGAGCGTTTTAATTGTAAAGTATTTCAAAAACATAATTTATTGTAAATAATATAGTTTTATATATTACAACCAAAATAATTGGATTTAAACAAGGCTCTTGAAAATGATAAAGTGGTGAGATATATAAAGTGACTGAATTTGAATAATCTTTTAGAGCTGGATTATAGTTTGTCTTACTTATGAGTCGATTCGACACGAAATGAGTAAAGGGATTTAGACTAAAGATTAGCACTAATGACACTATCTATTGACACGTATACAACAGCCGAAGTAAATTGTGTAGCTCTTTTATATTTCCGGGTAATTTCAGTGTTAATGCCACATCAACATGGAGGCAGTTTACAGTGCACCGTATTCTTTACTTGAATGTCCCAATTTGAAATTAAAGAAGCCAACATGGGTGAAGCAGCCTTCTGCTATGGTTGTATTTGGATTGGTCCTAACTTCTTATTTTCTTGTGACAGGAGGTAGATCTAGATAATAAATGTATTTGTTACATCATGTAATTCATTCTCATTTCAGACATTTCTGCTGTCGTTCTCTCATCATTTGTCATTTGACGATTTCTGAGCCGGCTTTACCCCCCTCCCCCCACCCCGTTTTACTTTCATGTAGATTCTAGTTTTAGTTCTGCATGTGTATAGATCTATCTAGTATGTAGTTTAGTCTCTAGACTAGGTTTTTAGATATCTAGATCTCACCAGTACTGTTACTGTTGAATACTGTTACTCTGTTGATTGTGATACTGATACAGTGATAGTACTTCACTTGATCTAGATCTAGATTTATTCTAGATCTAGAATCTAGCTAGCTAGGCCATTCTAGATTCTAGGCTAAACTTAGGTCTTAGAGTTAGATTCTAGATCTACTTACAAAAATAATTACAAGTAACAATTTGTAAGGCCTGTTCAAAAATAAAAATTATTAATAATCTACATTTGACTGATTAAAATTAGGCCTATAAAAATACGAATGAAGAAAGTAAGAATTTCTGAATTGTGTGAAAAGCAATCTAACTAAGAATAGGAAATGGGAATTCATACTTGAGATTTTGCGATACCTACGTAAATCTGAGATGAAGTTTTGTTTAGCGCACTCCTAAACTAGGAGTTCAAAAACATAACCTCATCGACAGCCAGTTCCTCCGCCTTAACCTAAAAGATAATAAAACCATGTGTATTTCTTTCCAATATATTCCAAAATATTCTACCTGTCCATTTGAGATATCTGAATATAAATCTACGAGAAAAATGGCCTGTTGAGGAAGGATACAACGGGCGCTAGGTTGATAGTGCTGTCTATTTTCTCTAAACTAAAATAAAAAAAAATAACCATCTTAATTCAATTTGACCGGAAACAAAAAATGACATTGAAAACAGATTTTTATCCAGAATTGGTACTTTAATTTCTACAAAATATAGTCATAGGCATATCCCTAAACCATGCACCTAATCTCATTCATGACAAAAGTCGCATTTAGAGTTTCTTTCAGGCAACTCTACTTGGGAGGAGGGGGCTCTGCCCCCCCCCCTCCCCGACACACACCCCAAAACATGTCTACCATCCCATTCAACAAAATATAATTATATACTTTTTCCAGTGTCCGCCCCCTCCCAGAAAATTCTACCCCCGCCCCCCAAAAAATTCAAGTACTCCCACCCCTCGCCGGGGAGGAAAAAGTCTGAAAGAAACACTGGTCGCATTTGGAGATCATACAAACTAAAGGAAGAACCTGGGTGGGGAAGAGATGCATGAAAAAACTGTGCACGCTAAACACTTTTTAGATTAGAAAAAGCCCCCCCCCTCCGGGGAGCAAAAAGTCTGAAAGAAACACTGGTGTCGCGCTTAGCCATTACCCGAAGAATTGCATGAAAGGAACTGCAAGCAAACCCTTTTTTAGATTAGACAAATTAATTAGGTGGTATCTTTATTATAGAGTATCGATGAAGACATTTCTTTTGAGTTGGGAGGGGGGGGGGGCCTAGACGTTCTTTCGCGAGGGTGGGGCTTTGCCCCTACCCGAAGAATTGTATGAATGAAACTCTTCACGCAAACCACTTAGATTAGACAAAATTTCCTTTTTATTCAATGTTTACTCGAGAATCAATGACGTCATATTATTTTGTGCACTCTCCCGGCTGTCGACTTTTTTCTACTATATGCTGAATATTATGATGTCATATTTCGCTTCCGCTTTACTGTGAAAGTTTTTAATTTGCTTGTGTTTTCTCTAGAGCGTTCTTGTCAGATAGATAGATAGATAGATACATAGATAGACAGACAGCGAAACTATTATTATAGATTTGCCTAATACTACTAATAGGCCTACATATTGTAGAGAGTAATGTTAGCTTGAATAATGTGATGATTTTAGGGAAAAAATGTGTATTTGAACTGATTAGGCCCTATATCAATATCATTTATCCATGCTGTTTTAACACTTAGCAATTCTAACGCTTGTTTGTAATTTGTATTCTTTTTTTAAAGGTATAATCTATGATGTGATTGTTGAGCCTCCCAGCATTGGGTCCACCACAGATGAGCGTGGTAATTCTAAACCTGTAAGTCTTAGAGTAACTAATCATCACATCAGGCACATATTTTTGTGTGTGCTTTTCTTGTTTCTCTCATATAAAAAATGCCACTATTAGTATTGTCACTCAGTGACCTGAAATTTTGTCACAAATGTTTGTTGTATGTGATCTTAAATTGTTGTGAATGTGAACATTAGTCTCCCAGTTTTGGTAAATTATGTAGTTCAAATTTTTTTAAAATAGTTAAATTTTCATTTTTAATATACTATCCAGCCCAAACTTGATTCATTTATTATATTTGAGAATAATATCCTTTTAAACTATAGTATTAATTTTAAATAGCTGTTTTTAATACTAGCTATTGTAAAAAAATTAAATTATTTTTATTGTAAGGTTCTTTTTAAAGATTTATTTACAAGTTTTAAATTTAAATTTTTTAATTCTAAATTTCCAGCCTGATGTAGCTTTAAGTGTCTGTAGCACTCAATTTCCCCACACCACATTTTTTCAACAAATTTTGTTTGTTTGTACAGGTAGCCTTTATGCCATACAGAGTGAATGGCCAGTACATTATGGAAGGTCTGGCGTCCAGTTTTCTATTTACACTTGGTGGGTTAGGGTTTGTTATCCTTGACCAAACCAACAAGCCCCTGATGCCGAAACTGAATCGCTTGCTGCTGATTGGATTTGGCGCTGGCATTGTGGTCATCACATTCTTCACATGCAGAGTTTTTATGAGAATAAAATTACCGTAAGTTGTTCAAGGAAATATTTAACTTAGGCTCAGTAATAGTATCATGATGCTAATATCCACGATAGGGTTAGGTTTTAAGCTACTTTAAAGTGGGGCTCTGTAACATCTGACCCTTACTGCAGGCTTGAACCCAACAACAGTTTCTCTAAGATATTGGTAGTATTACTTTTCCTATGTTTACAAACAATTTTTCCCTCCTTAATCATTTGAAGAATCAACTGTAAAATTGTTATTTATAATTATCTATTGTTAAAATCTACTTTTAATTCAACAAAAAACTTTTTTTTTGTCCTTCATGGTTATCTTTCTGTACAAGCTTCACAGCAGATTCCCTTCAAGCTGTCTAGCTAAAATAACCTAACGATCAACAATTTCCCATTTACTGTCATCCACACAACTTTCATAACCCCATTTGATGTTAAAAATACATAAACACACTGGGTTTAACTCAATTCACAACTCCCAAACCAGTGTTGTGAACTATTCTAACCTAACCTTCAAAATTATCTGTAATAATAAAATTTAAAAACATTTTTCTTCATATGTGTATGTGCTCTAATGTTTACTTTTAGTCTCATTTAAATCTACTTTATTTGTATATTTCTAAATATCTTTACCTCTTTAAATGAAAACTTTTGTCTCTTTGGTATAATTAATAATTTTTAAAATTATACATATCAATAACCTAATAATATGCAACCTAACTACCAAGTAACCTACTTAACTCTGGTTCATTTATATTGCATCAACAATTAATTTTTATTTTTGTAATTTTCAGAGGGTACATGCAGTCCTAGGAATCTACTGTAAGATAAGAGAGAGTGTGTATATGAAAATAACACTGAATTTCATTATGAATGATAGTTTTACAATTAGTCAGCACAAGTTTTTTTTATTGATGCCTTGGTTGAGAGAGGAAGAGCATTCTAAATATAGTTGTACTCTTGGTGTTAAACTGCTTGAACTGTGTTACATCATGATGCTTTATGTTTATCTCCATTACAAAACAATAAACCTTTGTTATTTATACATGAATTTCTTTGTTTAAATTTCTGTAGCTTGCTGAGCATTTGGCATTTTTTTTTATATGCTTTGTGTGGTGAGGGTATGGTTAGATTAGAAGGCTGATAGTTTCTAACCTGCAATTCCTATGTTCAAACGAATGGCCATGCAAGGCTACTGGTAGCTGGGGGTAACAACCAATCTAAAAGAGAAAACGGGACGAAGTGGTCTAGCAGTAGACAGCTGGACTGCTAACCCAGCAAGTGAAGAGTTCTAATTCAGCTTTATGTCAGTAGACCGTCCCTGAGTCCACCCAACTCGGATGGGTACCTAACTCACATTAGGGAAAGTAAAGGCTGCTGGGCATAGTGCTGACCACACTATCTCTTCATATGCAGAGGTCACAGAAACAAGTGAACTGCTTCACTTGCCATATAGACCGTCAGGTTTGAAAGGGAACTTTACAGAAGAGAGAAATCTCCAAAATCAAACAAGAGTGGAGCCTCTTTGGATTACCAACTCTGGTTTCCAACCTGCAGCTCCACTGATGCAGCCTTCTGCATGGTCTTTCACCTTGATTTCCCTGGAACTAGTTATTTATTATCATTATCCCTTAACCCTTATTGGGGTCATTGCGCAGTTGACCTTATCTGCCATCCATCTGGGCCCTCTGCTGCCCTGATTTATTGTCAACATTATAAAAAAAACCCAGCTGTGTTAGCCGAGTAACTGCACATAAACAGTACCTGTAGTTGTAACTGCACATAAACAGTACCTGTAGTTGTAACTGCACATAAACAGTACCTCTAGTTGTAACTGCACATAAACAGTACCTCTAGTTGTAACTGCACATAAACAGTACCTCCAGTTGTAACTGCACATAAACAGTACCTGTAGTTGTAACTGCACATAAACAGTTCCTGTAGTTGTAACTGCACATAAACAGTACCTCTAGTTATAACTGCACATAAACAGTACCTCTAGTTGTAACTGCACATATACAGTACCTGTAGTTGTAACTGCACATAAACAGTACCTGTAGTTGCGCAGTAGATCACATCCTGCTGATGAAAAACAAATTCAACACACAAATGTAAACTTTAGTTTTAAACTCCAGACTGTTTAGTGGTATTATGGGACTTACATTTTATTTTTCCCATGATAAACATAATGTTTTGGGTTCAATTAGTTCAAATGGGTTCAATATGGTAAAAAAATGTTAAGTAACTGGGTTTAATTTAAATTGGAACCTGGTGTGGGGTAAATTAATTGAGAAAAATACTACCACACAAGTGTAGTTTTGGTATTAAGTCTTTGCATCATGTATTGTTAATTTTATATAAGATACCTTACTTACAATTATAAACAACAGTTTTTCCATAAATCTTGACTACTGAAACCCAGTCAACCCATGCTTGAAAAGAAAATTCTATTGACTTTAGATGTAAGCAATACTATTATATTATATACAACTCCACTTAAGCCCCTTACACAACACTTAAGCTCCAGTCTAGCTCCGCCCAAGTAATGCTTTTGGTTATACCAAGGGGAGGGAGGGTGGCGGTGGACCATAATGTTAACACCAAAAATGCTGATATGTTTCCTCTTTGTCTCCCTTGCATTTATGAGCAGCGCATATTAATTGAATCATAACAGGGAGATAACTGCGTGAAAAATAATTTTATTACAATAAATAGAAATACGCGATTACAAATCCATATGATGAAAAGTCTAATTTAACCGCTAGATTTTAGCTCCCCTAGCATGTGCACGTCCCGTCCAGAGGCGTAGCGAAGGGGGGGGGCAGGGGGGGGGTACATATGTCCCCAGGCGCCGACCTTAGGGGGTGCCAAAATGGGTTGGAAAAACAAATTAATATCTCATTTTAGCTGCATTTTTGCTTTATAAATATAAAAAAAATATATGAGGAGGGGGTGCAAATCGAAAGTTCGAGGGGGGGGGGGTGCAAATCGAAAATTGGGTAAATTGAATGGTTGACCCCGAGGGGGCGCCAAATTGAAAGTTTGTCCCCGGGCGCCGGGAAGGGTCGCTACGCCTCTGGTCCCGTCTTACCAACTAAAGGAATCACAGTAAATTACAGTGTAATTATTAATTTTTAAAAGGAACTCAAATAGTTCCGATGTAGCCTGACGCGTTTGCTCGCTTTGTAACTATAATAGTAGTATAGTAACCAAAAGTATTTAAAAATGAAATCCCCCAAGCCATTAAAAAGAAAACAATATGTAGGCTACATACTGTTAGTGTTAGCCAGAGTTAGGCCTGTAAGGGGTCTTCCATAAATGACGTCACACTCGTAAGGGTCGGTAATTTTGTGACGATGTGTGATGAGGGGGAGGGGGGGAGGGTTCAGATGGTGCGACGTCACACTTTTGTATTATAAAAAAACAATGTTAGAAAACGAATTTTAGACGTTATTTCACGTTTTAGAAAACTGTTTTAATAAATTGTAATAGGAATTGATTAAAATACTCTATTTTGACAGATTTCAGACAAGATTTTGAAAAAAAATATAGATGTTTAAAAAAAAAATTCAACTGCAATTTTGAGGGGGGGGGGATTGTAGGCTGAGGTGTGACGTCATTTTAGGGCGGGGGTGTCTGGCTTTTTGTGACGACGTGTGACGGAGGGGAGGGGGGGAGTAAAAGCGTCAAAAAAAGCGTGACGTCATTTATGGATGACCTCTAAGAAATGTGTTTTCACAATAGATGTATAGGGCTTATATAGTAGGCCTAAACTTGGTATCGTTGAAATAGATTGTATATAATATATTATAACACCTTTTGATATAAAACACGATTATTACATAAATAATAATGGGGTCGGCGTGGTCGAGTCGGTAAAGCTCATAGTTGCTAAACCGAAATCAAACAACTGCTACCTTGTAGTTTGTTCTTGGTTGGACAAAAGGCTATGGAAACAAATCCAAAAAGAAAAGCAGGCTGAAATCAGAGTCAATGGCCTCAATGGCGCATGACCAGTTGACACGTAATCCTTAATTGTGATGGAAGCATGGTCGAGTCGGCAAAGCTCATGGTTGATAAATTCGAAAAAAAGTCTCGAGTTCAAACCCTCTGGTAGATAAGGCTCGATTCCTCCCAAAACTAAAAATTAAGAACGAAGAAGAAGAAGACATAAATAATACAGTTTTTGTTTTAGTCCAGTTATAAGTAAACAAGTAATTAAAAAAAGTCTAGTGACAATTTTAGCGCAATTTCCTTATGTTATCTAAAAATAGCTCTGTCGTAGCGTAAATCAAGAGCAGGGTTAGTAAAACCATTGGTTAGTTATTAAAACGTTTTTTATTAAAAAATTTTTTCAGTATTTTACATGTTTTATTTACAATAGAGTAACATGACTAAAGACCATTGCGCGCCTAGCTACCGAACGTGATGTCGCAGCCATTGAACGTGATGGCGCAGCTATTGAACGTGATGACGCGTGTGGTGTGGTTGGAAAAACATGCCTACTAATTCGGCCCAAATTTTAATTAATTGAAAAAAAAATTTGTGACCGAACGAAAGGATATTTTTGAAAACTTTCTTCGGCAATATTGTTCTAAATTATGGCAGGAATCGATTGGTACATGTTTCAAGTCGCTAAGTGGTCTGGTTGCCGAGATATGGGCAAAAAACTGCATTTTTTCGAGGTTTTTTGGCTTTTTCGGGAAATCCATGAAAGAAACCCTGAATTTTTATAGCCTATGTTCATCCTCGTAACTTGCTTAACATAATTGCTTTTGGAACTAGTCATCGATATTGCTTCGTTGAGGAGGAGATACGACTTAAAGCCCGGACACACATTCATACATCCATACATTCATCCATCCATACATTCTCAGAAATGACGAGTTAATAAACGCAATTCTCCAGAATGGAAATTGCGCTAAAAATGTTGAGAGAAAGACAAGGTCCAATAATAACAAGTGTTAAAACTTTGTAACTTCTAGACTTCAGGAAATGTCTGGGTAAATTGTGAGTATAGATTTTTTTTTATATAAAGAAAAAGGTTACTAATTTCTGATTATTTATCGTTTCATGAGCATCGATTTCAGTTGTGTAGGTCTAATAACAGTCTAATAGTCTATAATAAATGTAAAAGTCTACTTTAAAAAAGCAACAGCTTTATTATTAGTCGAGTCTTGTATAACTTCTATCAATTAGGCTTTCTTTAACTGCCGGGGAAAAACTAACAATATCAAGGCAGAAATCTTAGACAAATTAAATTAACTCACTAATTATTGATACATACATTCTCAAGGAAATTACAAGCTACTACTAACAATCTCTTGAAAACAACAAAAGTATAATTATGTCATGATTATGATTAAATTAAATATAACAATATTGTTGTTATTTGTGTGGCTTTGAAGTTTTAGAATATTGTATATAAACATCGGCTTTGTCGTTGTAAATTTATACCTGAGTTGTAGAACCTGGAGTTAGGAAAATATTCTTTATGAGCAGTTTTAAAAAGACAGAACAATATTCTCTTTTGTTGGTCGTGTGATTTAAAATACCTAATAGAACTGCATTGTATGATTTTAAACAGCTTATACAAAGAAATCGAAGCATGATTTTAAAAAGATAATGTTATAAAACTGCACTACAAGATAGCACTCATGTAGTAGCGTGATTCAAATTGTGGTTCAACATTTAGCCATTTAGGATATTTGGAATATTTATCGATTCCAATGTTCTTGAATTCTTTATCTAAAAAACAAATACACTTATAGTTTAGGCATCCGTCTATAATTTTGTGTTTAAAAATATTTGCTTATTTTACGTATTCAAAAATCAAATTTTAACTAACTGAGCTGAATAAATTATCAGTTTGATCCTGTTAAAAGAATTTAATTCATCTCACCGCAAAACGTAACATGGATGAGAAAAATAACACCAACTTAAAAACAAATTTAAAACCGCTGCTTGATGTGTCTGACGAAATCAAAGATAACATTCTCCTGAGTTTAAACGCCGTTATCATCCCTGTCATCTGCGTTATCGGTG